GCTGTTTTAGTCCATGTGTGTTGCAATAAAGGAATACCCGAGGCTGGGTATTGTTTTTTAATTTATAAAGAAAAGAGGTTTATTGGGCTTATGGTCCTGCAGGTTGTACAAGAAGCATGGTGCCATTGTCTGCTCTGGTGAGGGCCTCAGGCTACTTCCACTCATAGTGCAAGGCAAAGAGGAGCTAGCATAGGCAAAGATCACATGGCAAGACAGGAAGCAAGAGAGAGGAGAGGGAGATGCCAGCAATCAGCTCTAAGGAACACTTGTGGGAATTAGTAGAATGAGAACTCATTCATTACAGCAAAGACAGCACCAAGTCATTTAAGAGGGATCCACCCCCATGACCCAAACACCTTCCATCAGACTCCACCTTCAATAATGGAGATTGAACTTCAGCATGAGATTTGGAGAAGTCAGATATTCAAACCATGGCATATAGCTACTCTATGACCCCAGCAATTCCATTCCTAGGTATATACTGGAGAGAAAGTAGTGTATATCCACCCAAAGACAGGAACAAGACAGTCCACAGCATCTATTCGTAATTGCCAACACTGAAAACAACCTAAATGTTCATCATCAGAAGAATGGATTTTTCTCTTAGAAGAATGGATATTTTAAAATTCACAGTAGGCCAGGCTCGGTGGTTCAGCCTGTAATCCCAGCACTTTGGGAGGCCAAGGTGAGTGGATTGCCAGAGCTCACGTGTTGGAGATCAGCCCAGGAAACTGGGCGAGACATCATCTCTACAATCAATCAAAAATTAGCAGGGCGTGGTAGTGCATACCTGTAGTTCTGGCTACTTGGAAGGCTAGGGCAGAAGGATCGCCGGAACCCAGCCAGGTCGATGCTCAACGCTAGAGTGGCTGTGAGTGTGCCACTGCACTCCAGCCTGGGAGACAGAGTGAGACTTCAACTCAAAAATAAATAAATAAATAAAATTCACAGTAAATATGTATATACATATTGCTATTTACAGCAATATGGATGAATCTCTCAGTGTTGACCAAAAGAAGCCAGACTCAAAAGAAAAAAATACTGTATAACTCCACTTATATGAAGATCATGAATTGGAAAAACTAATCTATGGTGATTTTGGTCAGGATAGTGGTTACCTATTCTAGCAAGGGATATTACTTGAGGGGGTACAGGAGAGGCTTCCAAGATGCTAGAAATGTTCTGTACACTGATCTGAGTGCTGTTTGCACATGCTTATAAACACCTGTAAAAATTTCTTCACAGGCTGGGCTCGGTGGCTCAACCTGTAATCCCGCGCCTTTGAGAGGCCCAGGTGAGTGGATTGCCTGACCCGCGGGTTCGAGACCCGCCTGGGCAGCGAGACCTCATCTCTACAATAAATCAAAAAATCAGCCGGGCGTGGTAGTGCATGCCTGTAATTCCGGCTATTCGGAAGGCTGAGGCGGAAGGATCGCCGGAGCCCAGCAGGCTAGGCTGCGGTGGCCGGGAGCAGCCACTGCACTCCAGTCTGGGCAACCGAGTGAGATTCCAACTCAAAAAAAAAAAAAAAAATTTCTTCACTTAAAATTTTCTTATAAATACATGTAGAGTTTTATCTCAATATAAAAGTAAATATGTTGGCTGGGCACAGTGGCTCATGCCTATAATCCCAGCACTTTGGGAGGCTGAGGTGAGAGGACTGCCTGAGCCCACAGATTCGAGACCAGCCTGGGCAACTCGGCGAAACCTCATCTCTACAATAAACTTTTTAAAAATTGAACTGAACGTGGTGGCATGCATCTGTAGTTCCAGCTACTTGGAAGGCTGAAGCGGAAGGATCGCCTGAGCCCAGCAGGTTGAGGCTGTGGTGGCCGCAAGTATGCCCCTGCACTCCAGCCTGGGCAACAGAGTGAGACTCTGACTCCAAAAAAAAAAAAGTAAATATGTAAAAAAGGAACCAGCAAAGGCTCTATTAAAAATGTTTAACTGTCAGGCGTGGTGGCTCACGCCTATAATCCCAGCATTTTGGGAGGCCGAGGTGAGAGGATTGCCTGAGCCTATGGGTTCGAGACCAGCCTGAGTAACTTGGCGAGACCTCGTCTCTACAAGAAATAAAAAAATTAGCTAGGTGTGGTGGCACATGCCTGTGGTTCCAGCTACTCAGAAGGCTGACGCAGAAGGATAACCTGAGCCCAGCAGGTCAAGGTTACAGTGGCCGTGAGTGTGCCACTGCACTCCAACCTGGGCAACAGTGAGACTCCTAATCACAGAAAAAAAAGTACTGTTTAATTTGAGAACTACAAAGCACTGATGAAAGAAATTGTAGACAACACAGACAAATGGAAAAACATCCATGCTCATGGGTTGGAAGTATCGATATTGTTAAAATGTCCATATTACCAAAGCAATCAGCAGATTCAATGCCATTTCTATCAAATCACCAACATAGTTTTGCACAAAATTAGAAAAAAAATACTAAAGTTCATATGGAACAACAACAAGAAAAAGTCAGATTAGCCAAAGCAATCCTGAACAAATAAAGAACAAATAAAGAGGTATCGCATATCCTAACTTCAAATTATAGTACAAGGCTATAGTAACTAAAACAGTATGTTGCTGGCACAAAAATAAACACAAGCCAGGCTTGGTGGCTCAGCCTGTAATCCCGCGCCTTTGGGAGGCTGAGGTGAGTGGATTGCCTGAGCCCGCGGGTTCGAGACCCGCCTGGGCAACTTGGCGAGACCTCATCTCTACAATAAATCAAAAATTAGCCGGGTATGGTAGCGCGCCTGTAGTTCCAGCTACTTGGAAGGTTGAGTGAAAGGATCACCAGAGCCCAGCAGATCGAGGCTGCGGTGGCCAGGAACATGCCACTGCACTCCTGTCTGGGTGACAGAGTGAGACTCCAACTCAAAAAAGCCCAAACAAACAAACAATAAGTAAATAAACACATAGATCAGAATACAGAATAGAGAAACCAGAAATAAAGCCAATACCTAGAACCAACTGATTTTCAACAAAGTCAAACATCCTATTCTGTAAGTGATAATATGGAAATTGGCTAGCCATATTGCAGAAAAATGAAACTGGACCCCAAACTATATACTATATAAAAGGGATACACTTTCAATAATGGATATAATAACTAGACAGAAGATCAACAAGAAAAGACTTCGGACCAGGCTTGGTGGCTCAGCCTGTAACCCCAGTACTTTGGGAGGCTGAGGTAAGTGGGCTGCCTGAGCCCGCGGGTTTGAGACCAGCCCAGACAACGTGGTGAGACCTTGTCTCTACAATAAATAAAAAACTAGCCAGGCGTGGTAATGCGCACCTGTTGTTCCAGCTACACAGCACACAACTATTAATAAATTCAGTCAAAGAAGAAATCACAGGGAAATTAGAAGTTACTTTCAGATGAATGAAAACAAAGCATATCAAAATTTATGAGCCAGGTACAACGACGCATCTGGCAGCAAGACCCCACCTCTTAAAAAAATTAGAAAAAGCCAGGCTCGGGTAGCTCAGCCTGTAATCCCACGCCTTTGGGAGGCTGAGGTGAGTGGATTGCCTGAGCCTGCGGATTCGAGACCTGCCTGGGCAACTTGGCGAGACCTCAACTCTACAATAAATAAAAAATGAGCCGGGCGTGGTAGCGCACGCCTGTAGTTCCAGCTACTGGGAAGGCTGAGGCGGAAGGATCGCCGGAGCCCAGCAGGTAGAGGCTGCGATGCCGGGAGTGGCCACTGCACTTCAGTCTGGGCAACAGAGTGAGACTCCAACTCAAAAAAAATAAAAAAATAATAAAAAAAAAAGAAAGGCTGAGGCAGAAGGATCGCCTGAGCCCACCAGGTTGAGGCTGCAGTGGCCATGAGCGTGCCACTGCACTCTAGTTTGGGCAACAGAGTGAGACTCCAACTCAAAAAAAAAAAAGAAAGAAAGAACAAAGAGGACTCACCCTGTCCAATTTCAAAACCTACTACAAAGTTACAGTAATCAAGACAATGTAGCACCGGGGGGAAAAAATAGACATAAAACTGGGTGTGGTGGCTCATGCCTATAATCTCAGCACTTTGGAAAGCTGAGGCAGGAGGATTGCTTGAGGCCAGGAGTTCAGGACTCACCTACGCAACATAGGTGAGACCCTATTGCCACAAAAAAAAGAGTCTCTAAAAAAATTAGCCGGGGCGGGGCATAGCATCTCACCCCTGTAATCTCAGCACTTTGGGAAACCAAGGTGGAAGGACTGCTTGAGCACAGTAGTTTGAGTCCAGCCTAGGCAACATAGCAAGACCTCATATCTTAAAAATAAATTAACTAATTAAAAATTAGGGGTGTGTTGGCACCTGTAGTTCCAGCTGAGTCCCAGTTGAGGCTGAGGAAGGATCACCTGAGTCCAAGGGGTGGAGCCTGCGTGAGCCATAATTGTGCCACTGCACTCCAGTCTGGGTGACAGAGTAAGACTCTGCCCCCCTCCCCAAAAAATGGATCTTAATGTCAGAACTAAAACTATAAAACTTTGAGAAGAAAACATTGGTGTCAATTTCATGGCTTTATATTAGTCAATAGTTTCTTAGATATAATAGCCAAAACTAAGCAGCAGGAAAAATAAATAAATAAATGAAACTTCACTAAAAATAAAAACGGTGTCAAAGGATACCACGAAAGTTAAAAGACAACCCACAGAATGGAAGAAGATATTTGCAAATCACATATCTGATAAGGAACTTGTGTCCAGAATATATAAAGAATGCTTTCAACTCAATAATCAAAAGCAATCCAATTGCCAAATGGGAAAGGAACTTGAACAGACATGTCCTAGGAGGAAGGAGCAATGTTTGGCTTAGCCAAGTGGCCAAGACTAAAAGCAGCAGGATTAACACGGGCTGGCAGGACCCGAGGCTGGCTCAGAGCAAGGCTGCCAGGTTGAGGATTCTGGGAGCCAGTGTCGTCCAAGGCTGACATCTGCGAAAAACTACATCTCCCAGCGTTTTCCGCGTCAGCCCAGGGTGATCATGTGATCGGTACTCACGTGTCTCCGCAGCCGGCTCGGGAATGAAGCATCGAAGGTAGGTAAGTGGTAGGAGGTCGAGGCTGCGGAGGGCGGAAACGTTGGGTCCCTGGGGTCCCTGGAGACTCCCCCCCGCCCCCAGCCGTGGCAGAGCTCGGGCCCTTTCCCCGCAGGACTAGGGATCACGGTGTCCTCACCCCGAGCCCGCCCTCTGTTGTGCTGGCTCCTCCGCGTCTTAGCATAGCCCGTCTCCACCTAGTCCTAGGCCGGAATCGAGTCCCGGAGCCCTCCCCGGTTTACCCCCACGGTAGCCCACCCACCTTGCCTGAGGCCTGGGACTCGTTTTTCCTGTTCCCCGTCCCGTGTATGCCCTGACTCGCCTCCCAGTGCAGCCCACCTCTTGTATTTCAGGGCTCCAGCCCCTGCTAGCCTGGGATCCCACTGAGGTTGGGATCAAGAGGCCTACGCCTCCAGCCTGAGCATGTGGGCATCAGGCTCCTGGTTCTGGCTCTGCCAACTACCCAGTGTGACTTTAGGCTAACCTTCTTCCCTCCTGGGCTTGTTTCCCTGTCTGATCTCTCACTCCATGCTATGAGGGAGCGTCAGAGCCACTTAGTTCCCCCAACTTTGCTGAAGTCGGCATGGAAACAGCCCAAACAACACTTCTCTCTGCTGACAGCAGATTTTAGGTAAAGTCATTTTTCTTTCTTCTTCTTCTTTTTTTTTTTTTTAAAGAGACGAGATCTTGCCATGTTGCCCAGGCTATTCTCGACCCTGGGCTCAGGCAGTCTTCTCGCCTCTGCCTCCCAAAGTGCTGGGATTACAGGCATGAGCCACCACACCCCGCTGGTAAAGTCTTGAGAAAGAATAAATTGGGGCCACAGAGGGAAGTGAAGAGAACCAGATCCCAGACCTTTGGGGGAAGGAGCAAACCTCTTCCACCATAGCCAAGCAGGTAAGCTGGGAATGATGAGGCTGAGTGATTTGCAAGTGAGGAGTGGGGTGCTGAGAGGTCTTGGACCAATGCAGATAGTCTGCAAGAAGTGGGACCACTCGGCCTCTGAGCTCCATAGAGACCCCAGCCTCCACTCTCCTGTGGGTGGTGGAGAGGGTGGCCAGGTAGTATAGGACTGAGACAGAGGTGCTAAAGAGAAACATACTACTTGGAGAGTCAGGAAGCCATACCTAGCCTAGTGCTTGGACGAGTCATCCTGTAAATCTCTGTGTCTGTAATGTGAGCTGGGTGGAGGAGGAGGTCTCACAACTCTGGCAGTACCCATTTTGCTGGGTTCTCTCTTGAACCAGAAGCCAGAAGCCCAGGAGTCCCAAAATTCTGCCTTCACTGCTCACTGCTTTGATTTTGCTGAGTGGCTGACTGGCTGACAGGATGCCAGAGAGGAAGAAACCCTGTGGCATCTGACAGATCTCTCTGGATTTGGAGCCAGCAGAGGAATATTTCCTCTGGAGCTGTGTCCCTGGTCTCCGTGCTTGATGACAGATGTCTGAGAGCACCCAAACTGTCCCCTTTCCCTCTCATGGGTTATGGCCCCCACCTTTGTCCATCTTCAGGAGAAGCAATGGGAAGCAGCCCAAGAGGACCCCATTAGCCACTCTAAGGGCATCAGAGGCAATGGCTCTGTGATGGACAGTGAAGGCAGTCATGGCTGAATCCGGTCAGTTCCTTTCTCTTCCCTTTGGGCTGTAAAGAGTAAACCAGGGAGGGACAATAAAATAATTTTGTATAATACCCTGAGATCAGGATTGAGGAACACGGAGGTTCTGGGGGAGGGATGGGTGGGAACCAGCCAATAGCAGCCTCTGGGGAAGGCTGCCATGTCTCCTCGCTGTCCCTCCAGCTCCTCCAGCCCCTGCCCTTGTAATCTGACCTTGATGTTACTCTTCCTCCCATTAGTTACCCTGAAGATGCAGATAGTATCCTGGGAATTATATCCATGGAAATAATATTACAGTAGTTTCTATGCAGAAATCCTGTTTTCCCTTCTCCTGCGGGTCTCATCAGAGGCATCGCTTCCATACTTGGGGCCGTCTTCGTTGTCATCAGCACCTACCTTGGAGTCTCTGCCTCCCCACACTATAGCACCTAATGTAGTGTCTGCACAGAGGCACACCTGGGTCTGAATCCTAGCTATGTGATCTTGGGAAAGTTGTTCCACCTTTCTGTTCCCCAGTATCCCCATCTCAGGATAGCACTAGTACCTGCCTTTGTTTCATCTATGTTGAGATCCATCCCCAGGGAGATTGGAGTCCTAGGATAACAGGCCCAAACAGCTGCCTAGGGCATGTGGTCATGAGGTAGAACCCACAGAGCCTCTTAAGATTCCAGGAAGAGCTGGGCTTGGTGGCTCAGTCTGTAATCCCGCGCCTTTGGGAGGCTGAGGTGAGTGGATTGCCTGAGCCCGCAGGGTCGAGACCCGCCTGGGCAACTTGGTGAGACCTCATCTCTACAATAAATCAAAAATCAGCCGGGCGTGGTAGCGCGCACCTGTAGTTCCAGTACTTGGGAGGCTGAGGCGGAAGGATAGCCAGAGCACAGCAGGTCAAGGCTGCAGTGGCCAGCAGCGGCCACTGCACTCCAGTCTGGGCGACAGAGTGAGACTCCAACTCAAAAAAAAAAAAAAAAAAAGATTCCAAGAAGAAGAAACATCTTCCCAGTTTTCAAGAAAGAGGCAAAGCCAAAGAAAAACCTGCAACTTACCTATATTTACCCAGATAACGAAGATAATTAGTTAGATGGTAAGTCTGTTATCTGAGTTCAGCCATGCCCAAGGCACCATTTTGGGCCCCAGAGTGGGGCAAATACAAACAGATGGATGCCCTAGGGTCAGACAGACCTGGGTTTGAATCCCAGCTCCTCCAAAGACCGCTGTGTGACCTTCTGGAATTCACTTTCCTCTTTGGCAAAATGGTGGCTGTCATGTCTACTGTTTAGGACTACATTCAGGATTGAATGAACTGAAGCATTCCATAGCTGCAGCAATAGTGGTTGATAGTGACAATAAATACTGCATGTTTGGCCTCAGATCCTTGTCATCCAGCCCAGTAGAGCAAGCCTTGTGCCTGTGAAAATGCAAGCGCATGAGAGAGGAAACTAGTCTGTGCAGTGCTGGGTACCCACATGGCTCCCAGAGGAGCTCAGGGAGTATCTGAGGAAAGGGGGAAGAAATGGGACTAGGAAGCATGGCCAGCAAAAGGGCTGGAAGCAGTCCAAGCACGGGACTAATCATTTTTTTTTCCTGAAGATGCAGATGTGACAGGCATAGAGGCCTCTTGTCACGTGGGAGAAGAGTGAGAGTTGGCCTGAATCCTGAAGGGCCTTGAACCACATGAATTTAGACTCTGGGCTGGAGGGAAACATGCTGGGCTGTGATATGTTGGATCATAGGTCTTGGCATGGGCTCCTTTTGGGACCCTGTGGTATGGAAATAGTCTGGGAAGCCAGACAGATCTGGATCCAAATCCTGCCCTGCAACTTGCTATGTGACCCCAGGTCAGTGATTTGATCTCTCTGAACCTTTTGACCACAAGACTGTCATAAAATTGAATGAGATAAGATACACCCATGACACACCTGCCCAGTGCAAGGCTGATGTGTTAGTACCTCCCATCTTTTTTTTTTTTTTTTTT